CTCTGTGACGGTACCCAGGCCTGGGTGGTGACTGACAAGATGTCGGCTGAAGCCATAAAACAGAAGCCCTCCTGCCAGGAAACTGCTGGGGTGTCCTGCTCCGGCCTCACACTGTCCCCACCCGGAGATGCAGGCCCCGTCCTGGCTCCCCACAGGCACGCCCTGGCCTCGCCTGAGGGACACACGCTGCTCCCGCCGGCCCAGCCTGATGCACGGCAGCATCACCTGTGAGCAAACACACTGCGGCCCAGGCCCAGCCCAAACAAGGAAGTCCGAATCTCTGGGGGCGGGGCCTGGCGAGCCCGGACTCCCCGAATGATTCTAATGTGCAACCAGCATTGGGCCACTGGATCGTTCCTACCCGCCTAGGGGACCCAGCTGAAGCCCCATTCCTCCAGGAAGCCTTCCTGGACTTACCCCATACAGTGACCCTCCTCCTCTGAGCACCTGGGGGCCATAGGAGGAGCCGGGCACTGGGCACGGAGGGCAGCCCACTTTGTTAGATGGCAGACAGGAAGCAGAACCCAGGCTCTGCTCCTCGTTCGCTGTGTATTCCAGGTCACATCACCAAACCTCTCTGAGGCAGTTTCCTCGTCTGCAACACAGGCATTAATAATACCTGCCTCACCGGCTGACGTAAGATGCTTCCACTGACTCATGCCTACCTCACGTTCCTCCACTTCCAAAACCAAGGGCTCTCACAAGCCCAGAGTGAGCCAGTCCTCAGGGACCTCCCACCCTGCGTGCACCCACCTCCTCCTCCATCCTGGGTGCTGGGAGCACTCCTCACACTTCCTTCCAGGAACACTGCTGAGCCTCCATGTGTGCCCTCGCAGGTGGCCGTGAGAAAACCATCCTGCAGGGCCCCCCCCCCCCCCAATGAGGAGCTCCCTCCATAGGACCCATCCAGCAGCCGGGCAGAGCCTGCCCAGCGAGGGGCTGGCAGGGGCACTGGCGGACACCTGTGCAGAGCTCCAGCTGCTCCGAAAGCACTCCTACAGGCACCCGGTCCTAGGGAGGCCGGCTCTCCTCCCCACCGGCCAGGGAACCTGCCCAAGGTCACAGTTAGCAAGTTCTAGGGCTGGAGTTGAGACTATCCAGTAATTGGGAACAATAGGTCCAAAAAGAGAGAAATGGTTAAATTCATAGAGTACGTCGCATGGTGGAATCCTATGCAAATATCCAAGTCACGTCTTCAAATAACTCTAATAGCACAAGGTTCATAATGGGCTAAAGGAAAAAGGCAGGCAGAGAGTTAGAACTCCACTCTGTGATAGAGATGTACTTATTGGCAAATAGACAAATATAGATTGCATGTGCTCTATAGGATGTCCCCAAAACTGTATACACACTTTGAATCATTATTAATTCCAACGTTTCTTTTCAGATTTAACCCATTGGAATTAATAATTATTCAAAGTCGTCATACATTTTGGGGGATACCTATATTTGCAATGATATCAAAAAAGTCTCTAAGTTGCTCCTGGTCCTGCCTCAGTAGATCAGTCCCTGCCTCCCAGCCTCCCCACCCCCCACCCACCCACCCCGCCCGCATGCAGGCGAATAAACAGGCATGTGCTGACCAGGAGTCTGTCCTGGCCCCCCTCTGTGGACACCATTTTAGTGAAAAATGACACCGAGGGCGAGAAGAATCACAGTCCTGCCAGAAGGCGGTGTTTATAAAGTTTTTATTTTTCCATTTTCTTAAAAATAACATTTGATTTCCTTTATGCAGGAGTGGGTGTACTGGTTTCCTTAGGCTGAGTACTAGGCAGATAAGACAACACGAGGCAGGTCTCCAGGTGGAGGCGGGCTCGGGGGTGCCAGGCGGGGCCACGGGAGGGAGAGGGTGGGTGACACGGGTCGCTGAGTGCCCATCGACACACACACACACGGTCTAACACTTCGTTTTTCGGGTTGTTTTTTTGTTTTTTTTAAGACATCTAAGATTACTGAGAGATATGATTTCAGCACTTAAATATACAGACGGGAATCCAAGCACTTGGACACAATTTCTTAACTCTAAGCTCAGTTATTGCACACGACACGGTTGAAGTAGCTTCAGGCTATAAAGCAGTTTGCTCCGCTTGGGACTTCCTCGGGGTGTCCGAGTCCCCCTTTGCACCCCTCGTGGCTCCCTCCTGTGGCCGCCGCCGGCCCCCAGCCCCTCGATGATGCCCGGTGTCGGGGGACTGGCCGTTCGTTCTCCCCAAGGGCCGGGGGAGGCTTTGGTGAATGTGGGTGGCCTGCGCCCTAAACTGGACAGGCTGGCGTGAGGAAAGGGGGTGACCACTGACCCCGTACGGCCCAGCCCCAGAGGCGCTCATGATACTCATACACTCTGACTTCACCTCCCCTCCTCCCTCGGCCTCCTGAGCTCCACTCCGGCCGCCTCCCCATCACCCATGGGCCCTGAGGGGCCCCTCAAGGCACATTTGTCCTCTCCAGCCCCCACCGACCCCCTCAGACTGCCCTCCCCAGCACCCTGAACACTGCACGAGTGGACTCGGGCAGCGCAGGGCCCAGAAACTCTTCTTTGTAAATGTTGGTTGAGATCTTTTCAGCGCAGCCCTGATGCCACTGCCTGCGTCAGCCCGGGAGCGGGACGGGGTGGGCTGAGGGCCTGGGAGGAGCGGGGACGGGCTGGGCTGAGGGCCCGGGGGGCCCGGGCGGTGGCAGCGTGGACACGGGCATGAATCCAAGGAGCTAGGCGGACCCCCTGCAGCTGCTCGTGGGAAACCCGCAGCTGCCCGATGAGGCGTCACCTGAGGCCTGCAGCCCCCGGGAAGAGCTGCTTGTCCACTGTGGGGGCTCGGCCTCAGGAGAGGGGTGCGGAGCAGTGTGGGGGCTGCGGAGACAGGGCAAGGCCTTTGCTTTCCTTCTACAACGTATTTACAAGGTCGTACAGACGCGCACACCCGGAAGACCCAGAGACCCAGAGAGAGCACAGGCCCCCACCGGAGAGGAGGGTGACACATCCCTTCCTCCCTGCCTCCCCACCCAGAACACCCGGCATCCTCCACGGCCGCCCCGGGGCACCTTCCAGAGGGAAGAGACGGACAGACCTCCATCCTAGCGAGAGTGGGAGTTTCAAGTGGCTCCGAGGGAGCAGCGCTGGTCAGAGCAGAGGGCTGCCGGGAAGACGGTTCCCTGACTGAGCTGAGCTGGGGCCGGAGAGGAGGCGGGGGGCCGGGAGGGGCGGTGGGAGGCGGGAGGGGGTGTGGGACAGCGCAACCCCATCAGGTGGGAACTGTGCTGCAGCGGGAGGAGGGTGGATGGGACTCCCTGGAGCCTCGCTGTTTCCCCAGGAGAAGACTGGAAGGTGTGAGGTCCAGCGTGGAGAAGGGGCGGACGGGCTGAGGTCCTTCCAGCAAGTCCAGGAGACGCAGCTGGCGCAGGAGCTGAGCAACCCCCGGCCTGCCCCCCACCCAGCACCCAAGGTGCCCTCCTCACAGCCTGGGCCCCAAGGGATGGCCCCTCGTCTCACACAAAGTGCCTGCACACACATACACACACACACACACACACACAGGCACACACACACACCCGCACACATACCCACACACACGCTCACACTGCCCTCTCCAAACACCGAACAGCATCAGAGCCCTCTGGGTGAGAAGCTTCCAATGGTGTTAGGATTGGCCTCAGCAGGGAGCTGGGCACCTCCTCCCCCACCCTGGCTCCCTCCTGGGAGATTTGGGGGACCGGGAGGCCTGGCCTCGGGGCCTGCCCCCTGGGTCTCAGAGCCGGAGAAGCCCTGCCCGGGCAGCCGTGGGGCCCTCTGAGGGGCAGCAGGGACCGCAGGGCCGCGGGGCTGGGCAGGAGGCGGCCCGGGCACAGAGCGCCTCCTGGAGGAGGTGGGGAAGGCCGTGGTCTCGGGCAGGAAGGCTGCGGGGTCCCACTGCTCCGGCCCAGGGGCTGGGGGCAACCCTGCCTGTGGTCTGTGCGGGGTCCCACTGCTCCCACCCAGGGGCTGGGGGCAGCCCTGCCTATGGTCTGTGCGGGGTCCCACTGCCCCCCTCCCAGGGGCTGGGAAAGCTCTGCCTGTGGTCTGTGTGGGGTCCCACTGCCCCCCTCCCAGGGGCTGGGGCCAGCCTGCCTGTGGTCTGTGCGGGGTCCCACTGCCCCCCTCCCAGGGGCTGGGGACAGCCTGCCTGTGGTCTGTGCGGGGTCCCACTGCCCCCCTCCCAGGGGCTGGGCACAGCCTGCCTGTGGTCTGTGCGGGGTCCCACTGTCCCCCTCCCAGGGGCTGGGCACAGCCTGCCTGTGGTCTGTGCGGGGTCCCACTGCTCCCTCCCAGGGGCTGGGGACAGCCTGCCTGTGGCTGTGCGGGGTCCCACTGCTCCCACCCAGGTGTGGTCTATGCGGGGTCCCACTGCCCCCACCCAGGGGCTGGGACAGCCTGCCCGTGGTCTGTGCGGGGTCCCACTGCTCCCCTCCCAGGGGCTGGGGACAGCCTGCCTGTGGCTGTGCGGGGTCCCACTGCTCCCTCCCAGGGGCTGGGAAAGCTCTGCCTGTGGTCTGTGCGGGGTCCCACTGTCCCCCTCCCAGGGGCTGGGGACAGCCTGCCTGTGGTCTGTGCGGGGTCCCACTGCTCCCCTCCCAGGGGCTGGGACAGCCCTGCCCGTGGTCTGTGTGGGAGGGGGCATCACTGAGGCTCAGAGAGGAGCTGGTGCACAGACACCCCGGCTCTTCGCCGCTGCCTGGTCCTCAGGCTCCCCGAGGGGACCGGGGCCCAGCCAGGGGGATGGAGCAGGTGCCCCCCGTGGCCAGGCAGAGCTCTCTATGGAACACCAGCGGCTCTGAGGGATGCCCCACCCGGAGCCACAGGAGGAGGCTGGGTGTCTGGTCTGGCTGTCAGGGCTGCCCTGTCTGTGCTCCCGAGCCTGGGTTTGCAGCGGCTGCTTTCCCAGCAGCCACCCCACCTGCTCCCCACCCCGCCCCACCCGCTCCGGGAAGGCCTGCTGTGCTGGGGCCTAAGGCTGGCGGGCGGTCACGGTCATGGCCAAACTGGCCGAGCTTTGGGAAGGCCCCAGCCCGCAGACAGCTTCTTGCCCGCCCTCCCCTCTGCAGTGGGACCTGCCAGCAGGCTAGAGCTTGACCCCCAAGGCGGAGGGAGAAGGGCGGGCAGGAGCAGGGGGAGTCAGGGCTGGCCGGCGGAGGGCAGCCACTCAGGACCGGGGTGCCAGGCAGCCTGGATGCGGCCAGGGGGCGTGGCTAGTGGGGCATCCAGGTTCATCAATTTTGACCTTGCAGTGGGTATACGTGTGTGAACGGGTATGTTTTAAAACCAACAAGTGGAACGAAAATAACAAGGAGGCCAAAGGGTGTTTGGTCCCCAGGAGCAGTGTGCACCAAGGACAGGTTTGTCAGCACATGCTACACACACACACAAACACACACACACACACACACGCACGCGCACGCACACGCACACGCACACGCACACGCACAGGCACACTCACACTCGCCCTCCAGGTGGAGCCGGTCCTCCCGCTGTGCTTCCCGGATCGGTCCGTGGGCCGCCTGCTGTGCCGGGTCTCTGCCTGCCCCGCCGCGGCCCCGGGCCGTCTACCAGATGTAGCCTCCGTCGTCCGCCTCGCCCGCCTCGCCCTCCTCCTCCTCGGCCTCGGCCTCCTCGCCGGCCTCCTCCGGCTCCTTCTCCTCCTCGTCCTCCCAGCCGACGCCGCTCCCGAAGTCCCCCGAGAAGCCCACGACGTCGTCTGCGGTGGACAAGCAGGTCAGGCCAGCCCCGCCCCCGCCCGCCCCCGCCCCGCGCGGGCCCTCGGCGCCAGCCCGGCCGCCTTACCGCAGTCGGGGCTGCCCAGCCCGGCCGCCTTACCGCAGTCGGGGCTGCCCAGCCCGGCCGCCTTACCGCAGTCGGGGCTGCCGCGCGTGCGGGTGCCGCTCAGCTCCTGGCCCAGCTGGTCCACGCACCAGCAGTCGCCGCCGCTCCGCTCGCACTGCATCTTGCGGTAGTAGCCGTCCTCGTCGCAGCTCGGGATGAAGACTCCTGGGGGGCCAGGCGGAGGGTCTGAGCGGGGCGGCCGTGGGCTCCCCAGAGGGGGGGGGGGGGCCTGAGCTCGGACCGAGCCGCGGTTCAGACCCTGCCGGCCCAGACACCGACCACCCAGCAAGCACGATGCCAGTGTTTCCTCCAGCTCCTCAGAAGGGAGACCGGAAAGCCCGCCTCCCTAGATGGCGCTGTCCGTCTCTGCCCACGTCTATAGGATGGCCAGTCTGACCTCCACCCGGCTCCCCCTCCATCCCGCTCCCTCTCCATCCCGGCTCACCCTCCATCCCGGCTCCCCTTCCACCCGGCTCCCCTTCCACCCGGCTCCCCCTCCACCCGGCTCCCCCTCCACCCCGGCTCCCCCTCCACCCGGCTCCCCCTCCACCCGGCTCCCCCTCCACCCGGCTCCCCCTCCACCCGGCTCCCCCTCCACCCGGCTCCCCCTCCACCCGGCTCCCCCTCCACCCGGCTCCCCCTCCACCCCCGCTCCCCCTCCACCCCGGCTCCCCCTCCGCCCCGGCTCCCCCTCCACCCCGGCTCCCCCTCCACCCCGGCTCCCCCTCCACCCGGCTCCCCCTCCACCCCGGCTCCCCCTCCACCCCCGCTCCCCCTCCCCCCCCGCTCCCCCCCCCCCTCCACCCCGGCTCCCCTCCACCCCGGCTCCCCCTCCACCCCGCCTCCCCCCTCCCCCCTCCACCCCGGTCCCCTCCACCGGCCCCCCTCCACCCGGCTCCCCCTCCACCCCGGCTCCCCCTCCACCCGGCTCCCCCCCCCCCCCGGCTCCCCCTCCACCCCGGCTCCCCCTCCACCCCCGCTCCCCCTCCACCCGGCTCCCCCTCCACCCGGCTCCCCCTCCACCCCCGCTCCCCCTCCACCCCGGCTCCCCCTCCACCCGGCTCCCCCTCCACCCCCGCTCCCCCTCCACCCGGCTCCCCCTCCGCCCCAGCTCCCCCTCCACCCGGCTCACCCTCCACCCGGCTCACCCTCCATCCCGGCTCACCCTCCACCCGGCTCACCCTCCACCCCGGCTCCCCCTCCACCCCGGCTCCCCCTCCACCCCGGCTCCCCCTCCACCCGGCTCACCCTCCATCCCGGCTCACCCTCCACCCCCCCTCCACCTGCGGCCCCTCCATCCTGAGTGCCTGCTGCTGGCAATGCCCGTGCTTCTCCTCTCAGCCCCTCTGACCTGCCTACAGCCCCCCAACCCCCACCCCGCATTCCCTCCCTCCGTGACCCATGGGCCACGGAGACCACTCGATGGGGACCCAGAGACGGGCTCTGCCCATTGCGGGTGAGACACATGGAGGTAACACCAGGCTCCCAGGCGATGCCCGAAGGCCCGGCAGGTGCTTCCCGGCAGAGGCGCCGCCCTGGGCTGGTGTGCTGGCCCAGCGGCTCCCGTGTTGTCACATGCACTGGCCTCTGCAGCCCAGTCCAATGCCAAGCGGCCCTCAGGGAGCCAGAGGCCCCACGGGCTCTGCCCCTCAGACCTCTGTCCCCTCAACCACCACACTCCCGGGGCCCCCTCTTTCTGTCCCCCAAACCCGAAGCATCTTCCTGCCCTCGGCTCTGCCCTCGGCCGGCTCGCCCCCATCCCTCGGGCTCCCCTTGGAGCCAGCGGCCCAGAGAGGCTCCCGCAGCTGCAGCCGGGGGTGTGCGTGCTGGCGTGGGCCGGGCCGGGCTGGGCGTGTGCATGGCCCAGGGGCCGCGTCTGTGCTGCCCAGTTCTGACCCGGGCTGGCTCCCAAGTACTCACGGAGCAGGGAGTGTCTACTGGGGGGGACGGGGGGATGGGAGGAGTGGAGGCAGGGGGCTCGCTCAAGCTCTGCACTCACTGAGAGGAAAAGCTGAAATGAATGAAATGGGGGGGGGGGGGGGTGTTCTAGGAACCTTTTGTGTCCCAACCTCCTGCTCCATGGGGTGGGGAGTGGGGAGGCAAACATGAGCGCTCAAATACACTCACTGGCCCCGAAGGATGAAAGCGGGAAGGGCGCTCCGGCTCCTGTGTCCTAGGCCAGGTCTGGGCGCCCTCCCTGCGCCCCGCTCTGCGCCAGCCCCGCGCCTCACCTGGCTTCTTCTTGGCGGCCTCCTGGATCTGGATGCGCTCCAGCTCCGCCAGGCAGGGGGGCTCTGCGGGGAGAGGACCGCCTGAGGGGGCGCCCGGGCAGGGAGGATGCGCTGGGCCCCCACCCCAGGGCTTACAATCCCCGCGGGGCCCTGCAGGGTGAAAACAGCCCCGTCAGATCCGGAGCACCCACAGTGGGGGATGCATTGATCCCTTTAACGTCATGGGGTGTCGCGAGACAAATACCCAGGCTGCAACGGGGGGGGGCAAATACCCAGGCTGCAACGGGGGGCAAATACCCAGGCTGCAACGGGGGGGGGGGGGCAAATACCCAGGACAAATACCCAGGCTGCAACGGGGGGCAAATACCCAGGCTGCAACGGGGGGCAAATACCCAGGCTGCAACGGGGGCAAATACCCAGGCTGCAACGGGGGGGGGGGGGGGCAAATACCCAGGACAAATACCCAGGCTGCAACGGGGGGGGAAATACCCAGGACAAATACCCAGGCTGCAACGGCCATTCCAGGGCTGTGGGGTAGGCTGAGGCCCCAAGAGGCCAGGGGCTCTCTGAGGGGGTGGGTGACCCATGGGTGAATTAATAGGACTCAAAAGAGGGGTGAACGCACACATTCCCCATGAGTATGGGCCCCAGGGGAACATAAGACGAGAGGGGATGTCAGAGGGAAGCCTGAAAATCCCTGGCAGCCACATCTAACTTCTCTGTGACCTTGAGAAGACCCGAGCCCTTCCAGCGGGCAGCCCGGCTGAGGGTAACATGAGACCCGTTCCCCGGCTCCTGCCAGGCTGGTGCACAGAGCCTACAGAATGAGCGTGGAGGCCAGGGAGAGGATGGGAGTGGAGGCCGGGGGAGAGGATGGGAGTGGAGGCCGGGGGAAAGGATGGGCGGGGGAGAGGATGGGAGTGGAGGCTGGGGGAGAGGATGGGAGTGGAGGCCGGGTGAGGGGATGGGAGTGGAGGCCGGGTGAGGGGATGGGAGTAGAGGCCAGGGGAGGGGATGGGAGTGGAGGCCGGGGGAGTGGATGAGAGTGGAGGCCGGGGGAGGGGATGGGAGTGGAGGCTGGGGGAGGGGATGGGAGTGGAGGCCGGAGGAGAGGATGGGAGTGGAGGCCGGGGGAGAGGATGGGAGTGGAGACTTGGTGGAGGAGCGATGCAGGCAGCAGGGAGGCTGGGCAGTCAGGTCAGGGACAATCAAATGACCCCAGGCCCTCACTCGGCGGAGGGGTTTGTCAGTTGCACAGTCTCTGCGCCCAGATTATCTCCCTTCGTGCTCACAACCGTCTCTGAGTCGGTCCTGTCACCTCCCGAGGGAAATGAAGAAACGGCAGGCAGACAGGTCCAGTCACCTGCCCGGGTGCCCAGCTGCTCACGGAGGCCTGGGGGGCCTGAGCCTCGCCCGGGCGCTGTCCTGCTCTGACCCCGCTGCACACGGAGCTGGGCGGGCAGCGCCCACGGGGGGGGCGGGCGGCGGCGCCCACGGGGGCCGGGCGGGCGGTGCCCACGGGGGGGGCGGGCGGCGGCGCCCACGGGGGCCGGGCGGGCAGCAGTCGCCAGGTTGGCCTAGTCAGTGGTCGGCAAACTCATGAGTCAACAGAGCCAAATATCAACGGTACAGTGATCGAAATTTCTTTTGAGAGCCAAATTTTTTTAAACTTAAACTATATAGGCAGGTACATTGTTATTAACTTAATTAGGGTGCGTGGTATTTTGTGGAAGAGCCACACTCAAGAGGCCAAAGAGCCGCATGTGGCTCGTGAGCCACAGTTTGCCGACCACGGGCCTAGATAACCTCTAGCAGGTGTGTGTGGTTCAGCAGCTGATGCGACATCTCTAAGGCCAAGGATCCAGCGGAATCCTGGAGAAGCCCAAGGCCCACGTCGCTTTAGCTTTAGGCCCTTCCCGCCCCTTCCCAGACCCCCCAGGGGCCCCCAGAAATGTTACATGTCTAGTTTGTAACCCTCTTTCTTTAAGAAGGCCAAATGTGCCGGAGCCGGTTTGGCTCAGTGGTAGAGCTTAGATCTGTGGACTGAAAGGTCCCAGGTTCGATTCCGGGCAAGGGCATGTACATGGGTTGCGGGCACAACCCTGGTAGAGGGTGTGCAGGAGGCAGCTGATCGATGTTTATCTCTCATCAACGTTTCTGGCTCTCTATCTCTCTCCCTTCCTCTCTGTAAAAAATCAATAAAATATATTTTTTTTAAAAAGGAGAAGAAGAAGAAGGCCAAATGTGCATAAGCCTCAGCACCCACGTGGGAGCCTGCCAAGAAGGGAGCTTAGGAGCTGGCCTCACGGAGAGTACAGGGGCGGGGGGCACAGCGGAGAGCCGGAGCAGGGGCTGAGCCGGGGGCCGGGCCCAGCCAGGGCCACACTCACTTTCCCGCCAGAAGCAGAGGCACCACTCGGCGGTGGAGACACGGCCGTCCTTGTAGGTGTCGCAGGAGTTGAAGAAAGGGCGGATGCAGACCTCATACTTGTCCAGGTTGATGGCAGCCAGCTCCGACTGGTCCAGGAAGAGGTCGGCGCTGGTGTCCAGCTTGGAGAACATCCAGCCGATGGAGTCCTTGCAGCTGGCCCCCAGGACCTTGTCCAGGCCTGGGAGGAAGACCAAGGTTCCAACACGCTCAAGGTAAAGCGCTCCGCCCATCTGCCCATCCATCATCCGTCCACCCATCATCCGTCCATCCATCATCCGTCCACCCATCATCTGTCCACCCATCATCCGTCCACCCATCATCCGTCCACCCATCATCCGTCCATCCATCATCCGTCCATCCATCATCCGTCCATCCATCATCCTCCCATCCATCATCCGCCCATCAGTCATCCGTCCATCCGTCATCCGTCCATCCATCATCCGTCCACCCATCATCCGTCCACCCATCATCCATCCACCCATCATCCTCCCATCCATCATCCTCCCATCCATCATCCGCCCATCCATCATCCGCCCATCATCCGCCCATCCATCATTTGTCCATCCATCATCCATCCATCCATCATCCTCCCATCCATCATCCGTCCATCCATCATCCGCCCATCCATCATCCGTCCATCCATCATCCTCCCATCCATCATCCGTCCATCCATCATCCGTCCACCCATCATCCGTCCACCCATCATCCACACATCCATCATCCGTCCATCCATCATCCTCCCATCCATCATCCGTCCACCCATCATCCGTCCGTCCATCATCCGCCTGTCCATCATCTATCCATCCATCATCCGCCCATCCATCATTTGTCCATCCATCATCCGCCCATCAATCATCCGTCCATCCATCATCCGTCCATCCATCATCCGTCCCTCCCTCCACCTCTCCCAGCCCCAGCCCCTGTTCTGGGCCAGATCCATCCCTCTGCCTCCACCTAGAACTGCACCATCAAAACCCTGTTAAAAAGCCCTTCAGAGAAAATAATTCCTCACTGCTCTCGGTACATTTCAGCTCCCCCTACCAATTTTACTGTTGTTGTTAATCCTCAGTTGAGGATAATTTTTCCATTGGTTTTTAGAGAGAGTGGAAGGGAAGAGGGGGCCGTCAATGTGAGAGGGACACATTGAGTGGATGCCTCCTGCACACACCCCATCCACAGCCGGCGACCTAACCTGCAACCCAGGTACGTGCCCTTAACCAGGAATCAAACCCACAGCCCTCAGTGCCCAGGCCAGTGCACTAACCACTGAGAAACACCAGCCAAGGCTCTCGCTGCTCATTTTAAGAAGTTCTTTCTGCCCAGTCATCACGGCTCAGTGGCTGAACATTGACCTATGGACCAGGAGGTCACGGTTCAATTCCGGGTCAGGGCACATGCCTGTGTTGCCGGCTCCATCCCCAGTGTGGGGTGTGCAGGAGGCAGCCGGTCAATGATTCTCTCTCATCATTGACGTTTCTATGGCTCTCTCCCTCTCCCTTCCTCTCAGAAATCAATAAAAATACTTTTTTATAAAAGACATTCTTCCCATTAGCTAACCTGAATCTCTTCTGTCTGGCTGAAACCTGCGCCCATTCTGGGGTTTGGGCTCTTTTAGGGGCAGCAGGGGGCACACCTGTCTCCCCACCCCCCTCCCTCCTCCCAGGCAGAGCAGCGGCTCCCGCACCGCCGGCCGGGCCGCCTCCGCCGCTGGCTGAGCCGTTCTGCTTGGAGTTCTCGTGGAGGAGCTGGAACCAGTCCCGCAGACGATCCCCCAGGTCGGCCAGGTCCTGGCCCGTGCAGATCTCTGCAGAACAGGGGCGTGGAGGGAGGGAGGGGGGGGGTGAAGGTGAGGGAAGCATGATCTTAGCTTGAGATGCTGCCCTGTAGGCAGGAGGTGGGCAGCTGTCAGGGATGCTGTAGAAAGGGAGTTAGAAACTGGAGGCTCCCTCCCCGCCCTCTCCCACCTTCTTCCTCCCCCTCACCCCCCAGCACAAAGCACAGCACAGGCTCCCTGGGGCAGGGGTCCAAGCCCTCCTGCTCTGTTAGCCAGCCAGCCCACCCCGGGCCTGCCCTTGGCAGGGAGACCCAGCCCAGCGCCCTGGCCGTGCCCGGCACTCCTCCTTACCTGCTTTGCCATCCGTGGTGGAGCTGGCGGCCGGCTCCGTGGGGCAGGGGCAGGGGCCCTCACATCTCACCGCCAGCTGCTTGCTGCTCAGGCAGGCCTGCTGCTCCAGCTTACACTGCACAAGGCCAAAGGGCAATGGGCGACGGGGCCCCACCCCGGGGTGCCCTGCAGCTGGGGGCATCTAGTTGGCAGCCACATCTGCCTTCCCCGTGGCTGACAGGAGGACAGGGCCCAGGAACAGCCCACCTGGTCCCTCTGGCGGCCACAGGTGCACAGTGCAGGGGGCAGCAGGCTCAGGAAGGGGCTTAGCAATGGAAGGCGCCCAAGAACCCCACTGGACACCAGACTGCCTTCTCTGCACCTTTCTCTTTTCCAGGACTCCCATGTCCTCCTCCTCTCACCCCCAGCCACCCACCTGCCCTATTTAGCTATTATCCTCTCCTGCCCTCATGGCCTCCCCTCCCGCCCACCCAGTCCCTTGGTCCCTGGGTCACTGTCTGCTGGGCCCCTCCCTCGATGGCCCTTTGCTCAGCTCTCAACAACAAACAGCTACGGCTATTGAGCATCTGCTAAGTCTTGCACTTTCACTGAAACCGCTGGGCAGCAGCTGTCAGCCAGAGCCAGCTGCTGAGGGCTCCCCCTCCTGCCCTTAAAGCTTTCCCCGGGCGGGGTCTGCCTAAGGAGGCGGGCGGGGCTGTCACAGCACCATCTCCAGCGTTAGCTCCCTCGGTCCCTTCAGCTCTGGGGGAGAATTGTGTTTCTCGTGCTCAGCAGAGAACACGGGCGCTCTGAGAGGCCCAGGGCCTGGGACGGAAGCCAGACCTCCTGATGCCTCCCCCTCCCGCGGGACAGCCCGCTCCGACGCCCGCGCCCTCTGTCACCCGTCTCCTCTGTCTCCCCTTGCCTTCTCGCTGCAGCTCCCGGCCTCGGCCTCCAGCTGTAGTGTCTCTCCCCTCCCTCCCTGAAAGGGTGACTTCATCCCCACCCTGCTTCACCCATCACCCACAGGGAGGGCGGGCGGGTTCTTAAACCTGCACCTCTCCCCCACAGGGGTCTCAAGCCCTAGGTCCCAGCCCACGCCAACCGCCAGCGTCCTCCAGACTCCCAGCTCCCCGTGGCCGGGGGGAGCACTCACAGCCAGCACCGTACTTCCATGGCATCCTAATGTTTATAAAAGGCTTTCACAGACATGGTATCGTTAATCCTCACAAACATCCCGTAAGGCGGGAAATCCTTCCCACACCGTCAGCTCCTGGAGGGTGGCCCTCCTGCCCCAGAATGCCCACTGCTCGCTGGGAGCCCCATCCCAAACACGTGGAACCTGCTGGGGGCGAGCTCGTCCTTCTCCCCCGGTCACTGGCCCACAGAGCTCCTTCCTCCCACAGCCCTCCGGAGTCCTCCTTTCCTCTAACTCCTGTCCCCGCCCATCTGCCTCTTCCACGCCCCACCCGCTACCTGCACCTGCCTGAGACGAGGGTGGGGTCTGGTGCAGGCCCTCGGTAGCCCCAGCCCAGGGCTCAGGTGCTCCTGCTCTGATTGGCTACATGGAATGCACTGCCACTAGCCCTGTGGGACCCCCATCAGCCCTGGGAGTCCCTCAGGAAGCCCTGATGGCCGTTCAGCCCTCTGTTCCCTGTGGCCTCAAGTGCATCCCACCCCCATCCCCGGGGGGCGAGGGCTCCTCACCACGGAGCTGTAAGTGTGGCCGTCAGAGCCGCAGACGGAGGCCAGCTGGGCCATGTGGCAGGGCTTGCAGGCGGTCTCTTTGTTTGCATGGGGTTTCAGGGCAGGCTGCTTGATCCTACAGGAGGGGAGGGGTGGGGATAGAGGTGAAAATGAGGGAGGGCCCCATGACTGGGAAGAAAGGCCTCGGGGCAGTCGCTGTGTCAGGAGCTTGGGGGAGTGAATCCTCCAGCCCCAGTCCGGCCTTCAGGTGAGACAGCCCCCCGCTCGCCCGCATCTTGGCTGTAACCTCGTGAGAGACCCTGAGCCAGAACCATCTGACAGAACCAGGTTCCTGACCCTCATACAGGGTGAGATAGCACGTATTTGTTATTTTAAGACGCTGCGTTTTGCGGTAGGCTGTTTCCCGGCAATAGGTAGCTAATGCGTGGGAGAGGGTGAGCCCAGCCCGCGCTCTCTGAGCGAAGCCCCCCCACACACACACACACACCACTCACCTGTGCTCCAGCTTCTTGCGGCTGATGCACATGGCCCGCTGGAAACCCTGGGCGACGCACACCTTATGGCGGCTGCACTTGACCTTCTGGCAGGGGTCCTTGGTGGTGTCCAGGGCTGCGGGCGCACGGCCAGAACGCAGGTCAGCCGGGAGTCAGGGCCAGCGATCCCCGGAGTCCCCCGCCTCACTTCTGCGCCCGGAGGTCCCTGCCTCCAGCAGCTCCTGGCTGCCCGAGGCCAGGACTTTCCCTCCGGCCTCCAGTCTCCCCAGGTGTCAGCCACCCTCCCCGGCCTGGCCGGGGCGTTACCTTCATCTCCTTGCTGACTGTCCTCCCAGCTCTTGATGTAATCGTCCTAGGAAAGCACAGAGGGGGTGGAGGAGAAGGGAGGGGCTGAGGCTCACACCCCAGAGTGGAGTTCCGCTCCAGGGCCAGGGAGGACAGGCCTGGGCCACTGGGGGCACAGGTAGATTGTCGCCATCTTGGTGGCTGCTCAGATGGCCCTTGTCTGCCCAGGCCCTGCCAGCGGCCTCCCCCAAACCTCTAGTGCCCTAAGCCCATGTCCAGAACCCCTTCCAGCTTCTTCCATAAGCTCCTTTTCCACCCCCACCCCCACCCCGCCAATCCCACACTGGGTGCTACGAGGAAGTCTGGCGAGGGTGCAGGGAGAGGCGCGGGGAGCGGAGCGTGTGGCTGCTGAGGGGCCCCGGGGTACTCACCTCCACCTCCTGGGGGCCGGGAAGCAGCCGCAGGCCGTGGGAAAAGAAGCGGGAGGAGAGGGGGAGAGATGGGGATTTCAGTGAGGCCCACCCCAGGGCTCCCAGCCTCACCGCGTGGCTGTGGGGCCCGGGCCCTGGTCTTTCATCGCTACGGTCTTCACCTGTGTCTCCACCGCAGACAGCCTACGACCTGGCCCGCGTAGGGTCCGCCAGGAGCAGTAGGGGTGAGGCCCGTCCCCCTCCCCCAGACCCTGAGGCTGTTCCTGAGCTCAGCCGCCTCCGCCCACGGGGACGACGTCCAGGGGCCGTGCCTCCCGGGAAAAGCGGTTCTCAGCCTGTGTCCCGGGTGGCCCAGAACCACCACCTCCCTCTGCAAGGGTGCGCCCCTTGCCAGTCCCCTCCCCGGACCTCGCCCACCGTGCCCGAGGCGGAAGGAGGCCCTTCCTAGAGGTGGCACGGGGACCGCTTTTCCTCGAGGCCTGCCTCGCCTGCAGAGCTCAGGTGGCGCTCGGAGGGAGAGAAAGGGGGCCGGTCCTCAGGCACCAAGGTCCCTCTGAGGCCGTCTGGCCCAGCCCCTCTGTGGCAGGAGAGGCCGGAATGCCCCGGCACAGGAAACGGCCCGACCCAGGTGGCACCATCACAGACCCCGGGTCTCCTGGCGCCAGCACACGCCTCTCTTCCGGCTACGACACACGGTCCCCAAGGCCGGAGGCACACGGACGGTCGGTCACCCCACCTGCTCTGGCCACAGCGGCCGTGGGCCGAGGAGCGGCTGAGGCAGCGGCTCCCCACAGCCCAGCTCACTGGCAGGACACGCCCTGCACGCCCGCTTTCCCCCCTGCCCCCTGGGTGGGGGGTGGCATTGCTGGGCCCTGGCAAACAGGGTGCTTCGGGAGGGAGCTCTGCCAGGCAGGCAGGAGGGCTTCTCGGGACGCGAGGCTGGCGGTGCCAAGGAGCCAGCTGCTGGCCTCCTCTGGATGGAGGCAGAGGGACATGGGGAGCCACACACACTGCCCGCTCATCCAGAGTCCCGGCCCCCGAGGCTCAGAGGTGTGCAGGGGTGAGGTGGGAAAGGCCAGACGCCTGCCACGCCTGGGGGGTGGGGGGAGGGCACAGGACTCCTGATCACAGGGCAGCCACAGGGGGCAGCCAGGGCACAGAGGAGGGCAGGCACCGCTGCTGAAAGCCCCAGGGCTCGGGGCCTCTGACGTCTCCCTGGAGGTGGACTAGCATCAGAGGATCTGCAGGGGCAGGGGCCTCCTCCACGCGGCTGCTAGGCAAAGGCCAGGCCGCGGCCAGGGCCGAGCAGGCAGCTGGGTCAGCACCCCGGCAGAGTGCACGTGGGCACGTGTGTACTGTGTGCTTCTGCACACGGGTGCATGCATGCGTGCAGGTCCTCGTCTGTGAGCACGGGTATATGAGCACACACGTGTAAGCAACATAGGAAACCAGGACACTTCCCGGCGGCTCACCCAATGCCGGGTGGCTTTTATCCGGGAACAAAGTGCCAAACCACTTCTCCCAGCGGCCTCGGCTTTCACACTTCGGCAGGAGGGCCCCCCTTTCCGCCTGACCTTCCAGACTCTTCCGCCGAGAGAGGGCGAGGCCGGGAAGGGAGGACGGGAAGGGCAGCGGGCAAGAAGCCAGCGGCCTCTCCCTGGGAGGAGGGCGTGGCTTGCACAGCTCCGCGCTCTCCGTCCTGCTTTCCCAGCATCTCTTTGTTCATGTCCCTCGTGTCTCTCCTCTTTCTCTCTCCCCTCCACTCCGCCCACACCTGTCCCTCCCTCTTGTCCCAGCAGCCCAGTGTCCGCGGTCCTGGAGCCCGGGAGCGGCGGGAAGAAGCCTCCGAAGGGCCCGGACACCGGACCGTCCAGCCCGCTCCAGGCCCAGGCACGCCCAGCTCCGCAGGGCCCCTCGGCACGGAGCCTGCGGGGCTAGGAGCTGAGGCCCAGCTTCCCTCGTGTGGTCGGGCCCTTCCTCTCCAAGAACTCCTCCGGGCAGAGGGAGCTGGACATGTGGAGGCTGGGAGCGGCCCAGGGCTGCAGCCAGGGTGACACGGTCGGGGGCAGAAGCAGGGCCTGGCCACCACCAGGTCTGGATCTTCCCCGCGACTCCATCATCCCCCGGGAGGGGAGTGGGCGTGGGCTGTGGAGAGGGAAGTGGCTGTCCCCGGCCAACCAGGTCTGTGCGCCCCAAACCCGCCTGCACCTGCACTGGAAAGGGAGGGGGCGCCCCAAACCCGCCTGCACCTGCACTGGAAAGGGAGGGGGCTGTGTCAGCCAAGGGCCTCCAGCCTGCTCACCCACACTCTCACCGCCCCCCCCCCCCACTGCCTAACCCCCAGCCATGCTGTGAGCCTTTGGAGCTCAGTACCAAGTGGGCCTTGAAGGTCAGGACCAAGAATTTTTTATTAGAAATCTAAGGGAACGTGGGTGGGGAAGAGGGAGTTTGAGAAAGATTTCACCCCCCAACTCCTTCGTTAGCGCCCTGGCGGGGAGCTACGTCCACTCCCCCCTCCCCCCTCTCCTCCCCGATCAGCCTGCAGGGAGTGAGCGCCTGCTGTGTACAGCGCTGCCCTCCGCTCCAGCCGAGCCACGTGGTGGTGGAGGGAGCCCGGAGCCTCACTCCCAGGAGCGGGAGCAGCTGCAGCAGGGGGAGGAGAGGGGGGAGGAGAGGGGGGAGGAGAGGGGGGAGGAGAGGGGGGAAGAGAGGGGGGAGGAGAGGGGTGAGGAGAGGGGTGAGGAGAGGGGTGAAGAGAGGGGGGAGGAGAGGGGTGAGGAGAGGGGGGAAGAGAGGGGGGAGGAGAGGGGTGAGGAGAGGGGTGAAGAGAGGGGAGGGTTGGAGTGAGGAGAGGGGGGAGGAGAGGGGAGGGTTGCAGTGAGGAGAGGGGGGAGGAGAGGGGAGGGTTGCAGTGAGGAGAGGGGTGAGGAGAGGGGAGGGTTGCAGTGAGGAGAGGGGGGAGGAGAGGGGTGAGGAGAGGGGAGGGTTGGATTAGGAGAGGGGTGAGGAGAGGGGGGAGGAGAGGGCCCGGGGCCGCACAGGATCCCCTCCCTGCAGCGCCCGCTGGGCGAGCACCTGCCTGTGGGGCTGCACCTGCTCCCGGGGCTGCAGGCAGGAAAGGAGAAGCGTCTGTGAGGGGCTCGGTGTCCAAGAACACACAACGAGCGAAAGCCGAAAGCCGTCGTAGTGAAGAAGAGAGCGTGCACTTGGGGCGGAGGACACGGCGGGGGACCAGAAACAGGTAGAACGAGGCCCGGGGAGGAGAGCGGCCACCAGGGACAGCAGAGGCGGGTGTGGAGGGACAGTCTCCCCCGAGACCCGACGTTCTGGGCGGAGGACGAGCACGTCAGTGCCACCTGCTCCGCGCAGCCAGCCTGACCCCCTCCCCGTGCGCTCAGGGAAGCACGCCTGGTGCTCGAGAAGAAGTCCTCTTTCCTGTGGGTACGTGCCTGCCTCCTCTCCCCTCTGCATCCCGGGAAGCAGGCAGGACCGGAATCAACCCCGTAAGACAGCGAGGAAGCCGAGGCTCAGAGGCCCAGCAACTGCCAAGCTCACAGGCAGAATAGAGCGTGAGCCGGGCCGGCCTGGCCCCGAGGGCACCCCGGGCCCCGGGCGGGCAGGCGGGCCTCTAGTTGAGAGAGGAGGGGAGCCGGGACGGAGGAGCGGAGCGGGGACTGGGGGGGCAGGGAGGGGAGAGAGGGCTTTGGACCAGAGTCTGCTGTAAACTTGGCTCACGTGGGGCCTCAGCAAGTCACTCCCCCTCTTGGGGCTGGTCCCCCTCTGTGCCAGGGTCCCTCTCAGCTGGGGCTGCCCGGAGAACCCCCCCAGAGCCCCTGAGACCATCTGCGGCTCCGGGGTGCGGCACAGGAGGCTCCCCTGGGCTGAGCAGGCAGCGGGCGGCCTCCAGCCCCGCACCTCCTGTCCAATGCCCCTCTCATCCTCTCTTCACTCCCCCGGAGGAAAGAGGAGCACTTCCTCTCCCCGGAGGGATTCCGCCCCCCGCAGGTGCCCTGCCGGAGGGAGGACGGCTGCCCACGGGCACCGCCGGAACCGCTCCTGACTGCCAGGCCTTCCCCGGGCGCGCACCGCATCCGCCCGCTCCAGGCTTACGGCATCCGCCTGCGGCCAAAGAAGCTGCCCTGTCCTTGCCTCCCCCCTGACCGCTCCACCGCCTCCTGCCCTCTCTGGCTCGCCCTCCCTTCTCTCAGCCTCCTCTCCTTCCCTGCCAGCCCTGGCCTCCATCCCGGCCCGGCCCCCGGGGTCTCCCGGCGTCCTTCCCTCCACACGGATCGCTCTGCACAGTCTGAGCACGTCTCTGCCTCCCCCAACCCTTCCCTGCGGACAGAGACCAGAGGCTCCCCTGTCGGTGCCCAGCACCAGCAGACCGCTCCCCTCCTCTCAGCAGTCCGCGAGGAGGCACTGTGCTGCCCCCTTTACGTTCACTGGCTCATTGACTCCTCACGAGGACCTTGAGAGACAATGGCTGTTGTTACCCCATTTCTCAGGTCACAAAATCAAGGCTTAGAAAGGAGGTGCAGGGGCTTATCCAGGATCACACATCAACTGCACAACAGAAGAGAATTGGCGGCTGAAAGGGCAGGGCGGGGCGAGGATGAGCTCCCAACTCCGCCCCGTAGGGCGGAGTTATCCCTAGCCCTCAAAACGCCTGGACCGGGAGAAATTCGCTCTCTTCCGCCATGCTGCCGGCATGAGTGGGAGGAGCCCATTGCTAGCATGGTACAGGCTCTTTTGTTTATTGCATCGGACTCGGCTCCCTGGTGGTCCTTGGGGATCACGAAGTCTGGGCATAACAGCGGCCCCAGGACTGTGATTCCGAAGCCTGTACCCCCCAACCCAGACTCGGTGCTGCTCCACACACGACGGCAGGTGACTAAGTCCCAGGCCCGGGGCTGGGCCCCAGAGGCCCGTCCCAGCCAGGGTGGCTTCTCCCATTCCACCAGCTCTGCTTCTCCCATTCCACCAGCTCTGCTTCTCCCATTCCACCAGCT